GTCACACACAGAGCCGCGGGGCGATCAGGGGGTTTGGGCACTGCCCCCTGTCACGCTGATCCCGGTGCCGGGAGGCCTCTCGGCTCCGCTGACCCCGGTGCTGGGAGGCATATTACCCTTTTACTATATAGGATAGAGGTCTGGTGCATAGGTGGGAGCCAGCTGGTTTGCCCTGAAGGGTGTCCTGGATCAGGGGTCCCCACTGGGGTGCCTGGCCAGCCTGGGTGAGGGGATGATGGCTGTTTGCAGCTGGTCACACACCCTTCAGCGCGGGAGTCCCCACTGGGGTGCCTGGCCAGTCTGGGTGAGGGGCTGAGGGCTGTTTTCAGGCTGGCTGGGGACTGAAGCTCCCAACTGCTCCTTTTTTTTCTTTTTTCTTTTTTTGATTCTGGGCCAGCTTTAGCTCTGGCTTCAGCCCTGAGGCCTCTGCTGCTGAAAGCAGGTATCCGGTTTGTTTGGGTTCTATTATCGAAACATGTATCAACTCCACCTCTGAGATCCCGGCTGGCTGAAAGCTTGTTTCTGGAGTTTTGTTTAGCTTCTATATTTGTTACAATGTTTCAAACTGCAAGCTCAGAGGCGGACAAGGCAGGAGGGGAACGTTGGAGTCCTCCATCACTGAAGCAAGCAAGCCTCATGTTCAGTTTAAACTGCCTGGCTGCCGGCCGCCATCTTGGCTGGCAGTTAATTTGCATATCGCCCTAATTAGCCAATGGGAAGGGTAGCGATCGTACACTAATTACCGTGTTTCTCTTTTATTAGATAGGATAAGGGGTGAGTGGCTTAGCTGGTGTGGCTCAGTGGTTGATCATGACCCATGAACCAGGAGGTCAGGGTTCCATTCCCAGCCAGGGCATGTGCCTGGGCTGTGGGCTGGATCCCCGTGGAGGGCATGCAGGAGGCGCCTGATGGGTGATTCTCTCTCATCATTGATGTTTCCATCTCTCTCTCCCTCTTCCTCTCTGAAATCAATACAGATATATCTAAAAAATAAAAAAAGAAGGGGACAGTGCTGGGGGACAGGCACCTAGCAGTCTTCTGCGTGGAAAATTGCTGATTCCATTTTTATGTTTTTCCCTTCCCTCTCTGATGGGAAGCAGAGTGAAACAGGAGGAAGAATGCGCTCTAAGGAGGGGCTTTAAATTCTGGATTCATCACTTTCTAGTTGGCAAGCCATTTACACTCTGGTGGATGTGCCATATGCTACTGGATGCTCCCCCACCACAAACAAAAAAATTCCTGAAGCATATTTTCCAGCTTGGAGGAATAGTGATGGCTGGCAGCTCTCAGATCAGTTTCTCTCCAGGACTTGCCCTCAGCCAAAGGGAGCTCTGCCTTGCCCATATTCAGTATCTGGTGACCCGTCACCTCAGTGGGACATCTCCGAATGTAGGACCCTCCAACCAGCTCCCTCATTCTGTAAAATGGAAACAATATTGTCATGAAGGTTACATGTGATATTTTAAATATATAGTAGGTGCTCAGTAAATAATGACGTCAGCGCACACTTACATGGTTAACAATGACTCTGCCAGAGGGTTTTCTACGCCCTGTACACGCATCACATCATCTACTCTTCACAACAAGCTTATGAGAGAGGTACTACTATTATCCCCACTTTACAGATGAGGAAACTGAGGCCGAGAGAGGTTCAGTAATGTGCTCCAGGCACCAGCCTGTAAATACTCAGATGCAGCACAGATTCCTGTCAACGGGTGGGTCCGGATTACGAAGTCAGAGCCAGGAGGATGGGCTCGGCGACTCCAGGCAAGGAGCCTGGACCACTGGAGCCTCTACTGAGGACCTCCACCCACGTGACCTCACGGAGGCTCCCACGAGACCTCGGATGGAAGTGTAAACTCTGAGCGTGGCCATCTCCTGTGATTCTTTTTCTAGCAATGCTAATTGTGCCCATTTATGGTACACTCACCGCATTAAACCCTTGACAAACATTGTCATTTACTTCTCATCAACCCCCCGAGGCCGGTGGCTGTTACTGTCCGTGTTTTATAGGTGAGGAGCTAGAGGCTGGGAAGGTTAAGTAAATGGCCTCAGGTCCCAGGGCTGGGAGGTGGCGATCCGGATGCAGAGCCAGGTCAGTGTGAGTCTGGGGGTTTTCCCTCAGCCGCTGGCCTTCGGCAGGGGGAGGCTCTGAGTGTGTGCCTCCAAAGAGACCCCAAATAGAGAGGATACGTTTACCAGGGCTGGCCAGTCTCCCAGAGCCAGGGGTCCAGGGACTCCCAGGGGATGGGGAGACACAGATGCCCTGGAGAAGCCCCCAGTTGGATGGGTAGGCTCAGAGGCCCCAGGAAAGAAGAGACGGGGGCGAGAAGGGGCCAAGGAAAGGGAGAAGCTGGAGCAGGAAGCTGGCCAGAGGCCAAGTCCAATCTCTATTGCTCCCCTGCTCCTCCATCTGTTCAGCCTCTGAAACAAGCCTGTGAGTAACTGCCCGGGGGCTGGGCTGCCAGTCATGAGGACATGATGGGCCTCACGAGGAAGCCACACAGACCGGTGTGGGACTGGTGACTCAGGAGCTGCCCTGCGGGGTCGTGCCTGGGCCAGCGCCACCATCTCCCCTGGCCGCTCCCCTCCCCCGCTTGCTGGGTGGCGCTGTTTTTCTCTCTGGGCCTCAGTGTCCACAGCTCTGTTCCTCTATGGCTCAGTCATCTCAGGCCAGACCTACCAGGAGTCCTCCGTCTGGGAAATGTGGCGCTGCGGCCCCTCCCTGGCCCTGTCCCTGCTGCGTCATTCCTCACACCTTCTCAGCTCCCAGCGCCCCCACAGGGCCCTCCGGAGGGAGTCCTTTCTGTCAAAGCCAGGGGTCAGTCCTTGACCGCCTAGTGGCCTTGACTTTATGGCCTACCCCGCCCCTGCGATGGGTGACATAGCAGCTTCCCAGGTCCCCTCCTTCTTGAGGAGATGACGGGTGTGCAGCCTCCAGTTGCCTTCAGGGTCAGCCCAAGCCCCTCCGCCTACCCCAAGGCCCTTTGTGACCTCACTCTTCCCACCTCTCCGACCTGAGCATCCCCACGTGAATTACGCCCTGTCCCTAAATGTGCTGCAGGGCCCTTGCTCCAACCCCCTTAAAGCCCTACTGATCCCTTAAGACCTGGCTTAAATGTCGCCTCCTCTGCAAAGTCTTCCTGGATCTGCTCAGGAGGGATGGACCCTTCTTTGTGTCCCACAGCACACCCTGTCTTCATCCATCATAGCAAATGCATTTTGCTCTGCCGGTTACTGGCTGTGTGACCTTGGACACGTTATTAAGTGTCTCTGTACTTCAGTTTCCTCACCTGTATAAGCGGGGGCAGTCATAGTGCCGACCTTGGTTAACCATGGGTTAACCCTGGTCCAGCATTTAGAGCCGTGCCTGGCACTTACTAAGTGGTAAATGTTACCCATTATTAAAATAATGACTGTGACCTCATAGGGCTGTAATGAAGAATATGAGTTAATGAGTGTCAAGTGCTTAGCACGGTGCTGGGCACATAGTGAGCCCTCAACACATGGGACCTTTCATCTCCACTGTCACCACCATCACCACCACCATCATCCTCAGTTTGCCCACCTGCCTTTCCCAGACTGAACCCTGAGGCACAGCTGTATCTGGGCCAAATGCGATCCCCATGGCCAGCTCAGAACCAGGCACACAGTAGGTCCTCAGTATTTCTTGAGAGAATGAAGGAAGTGGGGCCCGAGCCAGGGATGCTGAGGAGAGGAAAGATGTGAGTGAGGTTTTTGGAGGGAGAGCCAGGCTGGCCTCCGGGAGGTTCTGTCGTCTGCAAAGCCAGGCCAACCTTTGGATCCGGAGCTGCGATCTCTGTTGGAGGGCTTCTAAGAGGACCTGCGGGAGAAACAGGTCCCCTCTGAAGTCAGCCACTCTACGCCTCTGGTCTCAGGGAGCACAGGCCCTGGAAGCCTCTGGACGCTGACAGGACCGAGCCAGGCCCATCCTTAGAGTCCTGCACCTCGAGGCCCACCCACCCATGTGCGTGAGCGGACATCCTGGAGTCCGGTCAGGCGGCCGCCCCTCTGGCTGCCCCGCTGTTACCAGCAGCCGGGCTGTGAGTCACGCAGCACTGCCTCCCTGGCCGAGAGCCCAGTCAGCTGCCTTCTGTGCATCACAGTTTTATGCCAGTTAATTATCGCCATTATTGTCGTTATGAAAAAGTTATGTGATCTGGGAGGCCCAGGGGAGCTGGGGAGGAGCGCCTCCCTGCTGGCCTGGCTTGGCCTACTCCGTGGGACCAGGAGCCTTTGAGGATAACATGCTGTCTCCCTCACTAGTCTGGAGCTCTGGGCACAGAGCTAAAAGAAGGTTTTAAAATGCATGATCGAACCGGCAAAAAAGCAGACGAAGCACTTAAACGCAAAAAGGTAATAATGAAAATAATAACTGAAGACGAATGTGTACACAAATCAAGAGAGAGGCAAGGGAGCCCTGGACTGCCAACCCCCTTAAAAGATTCCCGGAGACCAGACCTATGTCGGTTTTTAAATTGAGGCCCAGTTTACAGAGAGTGAAATTCACCCCTTTTAGTATAAAGCTCCTTGAGTCACTTAACTGTTTTCTATCCTAATCTAGTTTTGCCCTTTCCCGAAGGTCATTTAAATGGATTTATGCCGTATGTCACCTTTTGTGTCTGGCTCTTCTTAGCAGAAGGCATTCGCGGGTCCTCGGTGTGATGGTGTGTGTCAGTAGTCTATGCCCTGGCACGGGTGTACCACGGCTCATCTCTCCACCCACTTGTTGCAGGACAGCAGGGCTGTTGGCAGCGGTTGTGAGTAAAGCTGTTCTAAACACTGTGCACAGGTTATGGGGTGCCTGTCGGTGTCAGTCCACTTGGGTAAACAGCTGGGAGTGAGCCTGTCGGGTCATATGGCACGTGCATGCTTCTTCGCTTTAGAAGAGACTGCCGCACTGTTTTCCAAAGAGGCTGTGCCCTTTGGCACCCCCCTCCCCGACCAGCCATGTGGAGCCTTGCTTTTCACAGACATACCGTGAGACGGGAGGCATCGCCCAAAACCCGACCAGGTAGAGCATGGCATCTGAGATTCCCCATCGGGTCAGATCCTCCTCGGGCATCGCCACTAATGAGGGGGTACACTGGAAACATATCTGTCTTCCCAAAGGAGGTGGCCAGAAAAATGGTTGGCCGTGGCTTTGACTCAGGATGGAGGGGAAATATGTCTCCCCTTCCCCCCCTCAGTGAGGTTAGAGCCCCGGTCCCTGCCTCTTGCTCTGTTCAGAGACCTCGAGCTGAGAATTTAGTTTAAGGTCGTCCTTGGCGACTAGCACTCCCAGGGTCCAGTACAAAACAAACTAAAGTCCTCCCTGGAGGAAAGCAAAGCAATCAAAGCCTCTTACCATTCCCACAGATTGAGTCCTAATGGCCATGAGCTCACAATAAAAAAATCAAAAACCACAAAAACCAAGATTCCATGAACACGTTTTACCAGAACAAGAAACAGGAGGCTCAGGCCTGCAGATACTCCCGGCATTGGAATTAGCGCATGCGCATTAGGAAATAAGGGCGCTTGACAACTTAAACAGATAAAGGAAAGGATCGAACGCAGAAACACGGGATATGAGACTATTAAAATGACCAGGCACGGTTTCTTTTAAAATTAAACATGTATTTGCCATACGAGCTAGCAATTCCACACCTAGGTATTTGCCAAAGAGAAATGAAAGCATATGTCCTGGAAAAGACTTAAATATGAACTTTCATAACAGTTTATAATAGTCCATGGGCCAGGGGGCAGTGGCAGGCCCCAGCTCTGCTGCTGATGTGCTGTGTGACCTTGGGCAAGTTACTGCCCGTCTCTGGTCTTCACTATTCCCTTCGGTAAGAGGCAGGGTTGGCCAGCTCAGCCCTGGGGTCCCTCTGGCTCTGACCGTTGAAGAGTTCCAGCCTCCCCCACTGTGGCCTTCAGAGGAGCTGTGGCCTGGGCTGGGGCTGTACCCTGGCAGGCATTTCCCTTGCCTCATGCAAAAGCTGTGCCTCAGGCTCCCTGGGCCAGACCAATAAACTGGGCTCATAAATGCCTGGCAGGGCAGCAGCCTCCCTCAAATAAAAAATGTCTTCCAAACCGCTTGAGAAAGGCCTGCTCTGGCAGCCCTGAGTCAGGCCCCCACAGGGGTGCTGGGGCAGAGGGCACGGGCTGCCAGCCTTTCTGGGTCAAGGGTCTGGGGAACCAGCTTCCTTAGTCATCCAGCCCTCTTCTCCGCGTTCCTCCTTCCTTCTGGAGATACACGCGGCTCTGGTCCTGCCTGCTGTAGGGCCTCACCCCCGCTGCTTCTCTTTCTCCAGGGTCCCCAGTGCAAACAGAGAGGCCAATCTCTGGCTGGCCTCGCGCCTGGATGGTGACGAGGCTCCAGGAGACAGTGCGTGGGAGCTGTTCGCCAGAAACAAGCAAGTGTGCATGAGAGAGCGGGTCCCTTCCACCCACAGGGAGAGCGCTTCCGGTGGCCCCCTCCATCAGACTGGAGAGTCCTCCAGGACGGGGGCTGCGCCTCCCCCATCAGATCAGAAGATTTGCAAAAGGGAGAGAGGGGCTTTGCTAACCCTAACTCCTATGAGGGACAAACATAGCAGACTAGATGACCTGTGTGGCCGGACTGTCTCCCCATCAGACAGGAAGCTTCTCCAGGACAGAGACGGTGCCTCCCCCATCAGACAGGAAGCTTCCCCAGGAGAGAGACGGTGCCTCCCCCATCAGATAGGAAGCTTCCCCAGGACAGAGACTGTGCCTCCCCCATCAGACAGGAAGCTTCCCCAGGACAGAGACTGTGCCTCCCCCATCAGACAGGAAGCTTCCCAGGGATAGGACAGTGCCTCCCCCATCAGACAGGATGCTTCTGAGGGACGGGCAGTTGGTCTGGGCCTCCCACAGAGCATGGGCTCTGCACACCAGCCTGTCCTCCTCTGTCTTTCTCCTTCAGAGCCAGCAGCCAGGAGGCGGGTGTTGTGTGTGGCTGGCGCCTGGGGAGCAGTGCTGGACCTCTGGAGGAAGGAGGCCGCACGTGGTCTCAGGAGAAGTGGGGCAGGAAGTAGGTGCTAAGGAAAGCAGTGGTTTGAAACAAGGTGCCCGCCCTGCCCGGCCACGCTGGCAACTAGAGCACCCAGGGCAGAGAGCCAGGGTCGGGCTGGGTGATTCAGGCCTGGGCTGGGGCTGGTTGGTTCTCAGACTCAGTCCCACCCTGACTGGCCTGACTGTGGGTCACGTGGGGAGTGGGGTCACTGAGGCTGGGGGAGCTGGGCTGACTGACGCAGGGGGAAGTGGGGGAGGGGGAGCAGGAGGTGCGGGCTGAGTCTCTGAGTCAGAGCTGGACAGCTCTCTGAGGATCAGCTGCCCAATCCTCTCCTTACAGATGGAAAGACGGAGGTCACGGGCAGGTGCCCAAGGTCGCCCAGCCAGTCTGCCGGGTGTTAGGGCTGGAACCCAGGCCTCCTGACTCCTGGCCTGGTGCCCCTTCTATTCTGGTGGCCTACTTCTTGGGGAGACCCAGCTTGTGCAGTCAGGGGGCCTCCCCTCCCATCTGAGGGTGGCTGGAACCCCTATCCTCACACCCCTGTTAGCGCTGAGCCCAGCTCACCCAGCGGGAGAGCCTACGCCTTGTCTGGAAGACTCCCTGCGCCTTTCCGCCTTTCCCCTGGGCACTTTGCATGAGACTTTCCAAAGTTTACCCCCAGTAAAGGCCCAGGTGGGTGCCTGCCTCGGGGGGGCTGGGGTCGCAGCCGGGAAGCTGTGGGTGCAGACTCCCCCTGAAGGTCCGGCTGAGGATCCGGGGCGTGTGGAGTTTGAGTTTCACTCCACTTATGGGGCCTGTGGTTTGTCCCTTCACGTCAATTTGCAGGCGTTTCTCATTCTGTTCTGGGTCAGTCCTTTGTCCGATGCAGGAGCTACGCGTATCCGCTCCTGTAAGTGGAAATGTCACTCCTTTAGTCATCAGCTCGTTCTGGGCCTCAGTGATGGATGGGCCGGGCCCTGTTTGTGCCGGTGCTGGGCACCAGGTCTGTGGCTGGGGCCCCTGCCCCCAGGGAACTCACCTCTGATGGAGGAGACTCGTTTCAATGGGAAGGAAACAAGGGCCCCCACCTGCCACACTCACATGTTTTCTATAAGAAGGTTAGTGAAGAAGAATGTGTTCGGAACCCAGGCAGGGTGAAAGGAAAGGTTTCCCCGTGTTTGTTTTCTGGGCTGAGTCTTTAAATCCTTTGCGGTGACACTGCTTCTAGAAGTTTCCTTGACTCCACCAGCCCCATTGGCTGACCCTGAGCTCACCTGCTGACCTCTCCCCTGGTTTCCACCCCGGTTTGGGTGTTCTGTCTGGACCCAGCAGGGCACTGTCGAAGTCTTGGCCCCGGAACCTGGCCCCCGGTGCTCCGTGGAGGTGAGTCATACAGCCGGGAGGGTGGGGCCCTGGTGGGGAGCAGGGGTGGGTCAGGCCTGGGGAATTCGCTGCGGAGCTGCGGTTTTGAAGTCCTCACCTGTCCTGGGGTCAGTGTGTGCCATGTCAGGCAAAGCCAGACTCCCCCTCCCACCCCTCGGGCTGCCAACCCTGAAGGGGACTTCGGAGGATGTGAGCCAGACAGGGCGCAGGCCAGCGCTTGGAGGGAAGGGGCCAGGCAGGGGCTGGGTCAGGTGGGCCTCATGGAGGCGGGGCCCAGGCCACAGGAACTCCGCAGCCAGCCGGTCAGCGGTCAGCGCACAGATGACAGGGCCTCGCGGGCTTGAGGGCAGTGTGTCCCGGAGGGCGGCTGTAGGCAGAGGCAGGGGGTGCGGGCGGCCTCGCAGGGCCCCAGTGCTGTGATCTGTGAGGCTTCTCTGAAGCTTGTCTAGGAAGGAGATGCCGTGAGCACCTTGGAGCAGGTTCCCAGGGGACTAACAGAGAAGCAAGGGGTGCGTTTGACCCTGGGAATGAACACCCAGCCTGGAATAGATCCAGAGACACAGAACATGGGACAGACTGCAGGCCCTCAGAGAGAAGGTGGTAGGTGAGCAGAGATCAACAAAGCACTGGTATGCGTATGTGCATAAGCCATGGACACGGACGAGAGGGGTGAAGGCCTGGGGCGGGGGAAGGGCAGGCAGCACTGTGGGGATGGGTGGTCACTCACGCGCGGCCTCTGCAGACTGTGCTGACCCCAACTCTCACCCCCACCCTCTTAAAGTCTTGGGGTCAGTGTGTGACCCGTTGTCTCTGCCTAATGTCGGCCTTCCTGGGTCAGGAGGTGGGACCAGGGGACCAAGCAGATCACCACATCCATGCCTTAACCCCTGTCCCCCAAGATCCGCGGGTGCTGCCTCCTGGAGGCCTGGGAATCCTGATCAGCCCACGAAGCATCACAGCCACCTTGGAGGGTGGAAGTGAGGCCCCCAGGCCCCGGAGGGCATGTGGCCAAGGCGAGGGCCAGGAAGAGGCAACCTATGGGCCCCCAGAAGGGGGAGTGTATGCACCCCACTTCCTTACCCAGCCATCAGGGCCCTCTCTGGAGTGGGCCTCTGCCCCAGGCTGGCTCCTGAACTCAGACCAGGCCAAGACCAGCAGGGGCTGGGTGGCCTCGGCCTGTGTCCGGTCAGCGGTCAGGGGTGCAAGGGTAACAGAGTTGGGCAGCCAGTGCCCAAAGCACTCAGAGACCATCACACTGTCTCCTGTCCCCCGACATGTACAGGAGGGCTCTGACTTGTGGGAGGTCTCAGTCAGGAGTGTCCCCCTCTTCTGGGCTGGGGGACCTACCTTTGACCCAGGCCAGGGGTGGGTGCAGAGCGCTGGAGAGCAGCAGCTGGGGAACACGGGCTTGGGGTCGGATGACTGCCCTGATTGACCTGTGTGGCCCTGGGCAGCGCCGGCCCCTCTCTGAGCCATGCTTTGCTCCCCTGTACCTGCCTTGCTGGGATGCAGGAGACCACGTGAGCTCTGGGAGTGCTCCGAGCAGGTGCTCAGTGTGTGTCCTCCCCTCTTCCTGTCAGGGTGGGGAACGTCCGGCCCGAGGGCCACATAAGGCCCATGGAATCGTTTGGTCTGGCCCTGCCAAGGCAACCGCAGGTGGGACTCGAAATTCAATAAAGCTAGGAGCGTTTTTCATAGCAACATAAATTTATATTCAGCGAATTATATTACGCGAGTGATGGTATAAATACCAAATAGCCCTTGGCGGAAAAAAGGTTCCATGCTCCTGCTTGGCGGGGGGCGGGGGGGGGAGCACTTTTGGGGGAGCCTGAGTTCTCACGTTGCTGATGCCAGCAAAGTTAGGGTGTAGCAACAGCTACCCTGCCTCTTATCCATTCTGCAAGGAGTGCCGGGGTGCCAGGGTGCCAGGGTGGGGAGGCGGAGGTGCCACCTGCGGGGGCCTGGTTCTGAGGAAGGACATGTTTGTGTGGTAAGAGCTGCCTTTCCCAGAAAAGACAGTGGGAGGTGGGCAGGAAAGGAGGATGTGGCAGGGGTGTCGCCAGCTTCCAGGGTGTTGGCCACAGCCCATCTGGTAAGACCTGGCTTCCTTGCCAAAGACTTAAGGAGATTACATTGTTTTCTTTGGAGCCAGGCAAGGTGCTGGGAGCTGGCTCCCAGCCTCCGCTCCGCAGCTGACTGCTGTGTGATCTGAGCCGCTCACCTCTCCTCTCCCGGCCTCAGTCTCCCTGCCCGTGACCTTCCGCCTGTACCCCAACAGTGCTGGGGCCGGTTTCACGGGCTGAGTCACCTGATGGCTCCCAGCCTCAGTTTCTTCATCTGCAGGGTGGGATGTCAAGGAGGCCGTGTGGTCAAGTCCAGTACAGAACAACAAGCCCCATTTTGCAGAGGAGGCTGAAGTAGCCCAGAGGGGTCAAGTGGCCGCCTGGGGTCACACAGCCAGTCAGTGATGGGCCAGTGCTCTGTCCACCGTGGGCCCAGCCTGCCCGACCACTGACCACCTGCACCCCAGTGCCACTACCTTTCTCCCCAGGGAATGGGCTGTGTGGCCTGGGCTCGAGTGCTGGTCCTCTCTGGGCTCATTATCCGTGACAAGCCAGGCTCCTCACAGGGCTGTAGGGACTGTTGGAGGGGGTGGGGGAGCGGGTGGGCTTTGAGCCCCCACTCTGCTTGGCCCTGAGTGTCTACTCTCTTATGTGTTTTAAACGTGAACCCACAGACTTCCAGGTTTATCTCTGAAGCTTCCTCTTCCCTTGATTTTTTAGGAATGTAGGTGCCCTCTGTCCCCCCCCAGCCATCAGGGCCCTCCCTGGGGTGGGCCTCTGCCCCCAGGCTGGCCCCAGGACTCAGACCAAGCCAAAGCTTGGAGGCTCCAGGCCTTGAAGGGGTGCCAGGGTGACAGAGTTGGGCTGCCAGTGCCCAAAGGACCTTACTGGTGTGAGGCAGCTGGGAGGGGTGTCGCGTGAGTCCTCCTGTAGGCCAGACGCATGACAGTTTTGCCTTCCCAGGGAGGGCGTTGGGGCGTATGTGATGCAACAGGAGGCGGAGGCCAAGTGGTCCCTGAGCCTGGAAGCACTGGTGGCACTGGCAGCACACGAGGTAAAAGCTACCCTGGCTCCACCATCCTCCTCGGAGGCAGGAGAACGTAGCAATTAACACCCCATTCCTGTGGATGGGGCAGCAGCTCTGCCTCCATCCTCATTAGCAGGAGACCTGGGACTTGTTGCTTCAACTCCCTAAGCCTGGAGTCCCTCCTCTTCAGAGCAGAAATGATAGCTCACCTCCCAGGTTTGATGCAAGACTGACAGACGGTGCTGATACGTGCTCGGCCCAGAACTGGTACACGGGACATGCTCAGCGACACGGGCTTCCACTGCTACCCTCCCTGCCTCCCACACCCGCACCTCGGTCCTCAGCGCATCCCCCGTGGTGGCTCTTCCAAAACTTCCTCGTGACAACGTGTTCACGTATCCCACCTTCTCCATCAACCATGTTTTCCTCTCAGGCAGGCTGGGGCCAGGCTTGTTTCTCCTCCTGTGGCCTGGTCCATGGTAGAGCCCAATAACTATTATCTCTATTATAAAAAGCCAGCGGCCGTAACACCATAACAACCAAACGACCGGTCACCAGGAGGTGCATTGATGGGTCTCACAGCGAGGCAGATTTCTGGGTCTCACACGATTTTGCCTGCTGGGTCTCTAGTTGTTGAATAAATGAATGAGTGGTTTTGGGAAAGATGTCGGACCGGTCTGTGTAATGCTTTCTCCCTTGGGGGTCTTGGCAGAGGCGATCTCATCAGCAGCATCGATGGTGAGAACAGTGGCTGCACAGGCCAGGCCCAGGTGGGGTGTCCCATTGGACAGAGCTGCCCTGGTGGAAAGAAAAGAGGAGTTTTTCACGGAACCATGAGAATCCACGTTTCTGACTCTGGAGTCGGCTTTCTGTCCTTCATCCCACTTTGCCTCCAGGAGGCTGTGTGTTTTGTGGCCCTTGCCCTCTCTGGGCCTCTTTGCGTCTGGGTGTTCAATGAGGCGGGTGGGCCATGTTTCCTGGCAGGGCTTGCCGAGATGCGAAGCTCTGTGTCAGGTGATGCCCAGCGAGGTCCTCTCCTCACCCCTTTCCAGGCCTGAGTCCCCAGCTCCGAGTGAGCCAGCAGGAGGTGCTGGCCCGGCTGATTCTCACAGTGAGACCTCAACTGGAGCCAGGGTGGCTGACATTGGAAAATACCGGCTCTCCGCTCTGGCAGCTGCAAGGAAGGCCAATGTCAGAGAGGGACCCCCAAATCCCCCGCCTCTCCCTCCTTCATCAAAGGTTTAGATAACACAAAGAATGCTCATGGAGGAGGGTCTGAAAGATGCCAAGCAGACACTCTTATAGACACCCCACCCCCAACACACCTGCGGCTCAACCAGACACAATCCTGAGGATGTTGTGAATCACTTAGTTCATTGTCCCACACTTGCCCCATTTATTCATTTATTTTTCATATTTTTGTTGATTTCAGAGAAGAATGGAGAGGGAGAAAGAGATAGAAACATCAATGATGAGAAAGAGTCATTGATCAGCTGCCTCCTACAAGCCCCACGCTGGGGATCAAGCCCACAACCCCGGGCATGTGCCCTGGCCGGGAATCGAACCCTGACCTCCAGGTTCAGAGGTCCACACTCAACCACTGAGCCATGCCAGCTGACTTCCCTATTTATTAAACCCCACCCAGGGGTGGGGGGATTTCCTGCAGCTCGCAGGGCCTGGAAGAGCTGGCTTCTCTTCCTTGTCTGGGTTAGTTTTACCTTGTGAGCACCATGATTCATGGAATAGATTGTATTTCCCCTTTTTCCCTGGGCTACCAGGGAACTCAGAGGGAAGTACACCAACCAGACAGGATGTCCACCTCAGTCTTTGTCTTTTTGCCCCCAACTCTTTGACTTAATTTTCTCACTTAAAATAAACTGTTGTCCTGGGCATATTTCATTCGGGTGTGGGATATACATTCACGAAGAAATGTTGAGTCTTCCCGTGGAGTGGGTGCTGCAGGAAGAGAGGCACAAGGAAGGGAGGGAAGAGGAGGACAGGGAGGCTGTAGATGGACAGAAGCTTCTGGAAAAGCCCAGTCAGGGAGCAAGTCCCCAGAGGGGGCTGCAGGGGTAGGGGAAATAGAGGAGTATGATCAGGACAGGGGGTGGGCGCTGAGTGAAGGGCTGTCATCAGGGGTCTGGTCTGGGGGCCTTGAACGCCAGGCTAAATGTCTATTTCTTGAGGATCAACTATATCCCAGGCACTTTACACCCCACAGAAGTCATTGACAACTTCTACACTATTCCAGACTGTAGGAATTAGGAGACTGAGCCTCAGAGAAGTTAAATCATTTGTCCAGGGTCCTGAAGTACAAGGCATGGCCAAGCCCAGATCGAAACCCTAGATGGTAGGCCCGCAAGTCTAGGCTTTGTCCACTCGGCCACCCTCCTTTAACCTGGAGGCCATACGGGGAGGCAGCAGGCTTTTCAGGGGGGCGATGTCGCCTGCTTCTGACAGATCACTGCTGCCTGTGGTGTGGAGGACAGTGATCCTGGGGACCGGAAGACCAGGAGGCTGCTCAGGTCTCAGCTGAGAGATGGCAGTGGCCAGGTGATGGTTGGGGTGAACTAGGGGGTAGAGAGGAAAGGATGGGGCAGAGAGATTTGAAAGGTAGAGCTGACAGGTCAGGGGGGTGACTGTTTGATGTTGGGGGTGGGGTAAGGGAAGATCAAAGAGGTTGCCTGGGTCCGGGAGGTGTAGCTCAGTGGTTGAGCATCAACCTATGAACCAGAAGGTCATGGTTCGATTCCTGGTCAGGGCACCTACCCAGGTTGTGGGCTCGATCCTCAGCGTGGGGCTTGTGTGCTAGGCTAGGGTGAGGGACTGCGGCATGGAAGGGTTACAGAATGTTACAGAATGTGCTAAGGGGAGGAAATGGGACATGAGAAATTGAATGTGCTGGGAGGGGGGACTGACATATGGAGGATTGTGTCAGGGTTAGGAACCATGGAAGAAAAATTGCTAGATTGTCTTAGAAAAGCAATGTGTTATGATACGCTCCAGCCAGGTGTGACTGTCTAGCCCCTCTCCCCCTTTGTTCTTATGAACTTTCTATGAACTTCTGAGGTAACACTGTTGTGCTATAAAGGATCATACTGCATACAGTGGGGCCTTGACTTACGAGTTTAATTCGTTCTGAGACCGAGCTCGTTAAGGAGTTTGTTAACTCAAATTACTCTATCAACTCAATGCAAAAAAATCAGCCGAGAGACAGCTGGTATCTCAAAAAACTCGTTAGTCGGGACACTCATAAGTCAAGGCCCCACTGTATATATTTTTAAAAAAGAGGTTTCCTGGGTTTCTTGTTTGGGCACCTGGGGTGGGGGCAGCACCATTTGCTGAGATGGGAACAGGCCAGTTGGGGGCAGAGAAGGTGGTGATGTGCTTGCGGGGGGCGGGGAGGATGACTCCACTGACTACAAGCTCCCTACCCCCCTGCCCGCCCCCCACCAGGTCTGTATTGTGCCCAGCCAGCTCCACATCTGGTGTCATTAACGCGGCCGATGCGGCCACTGAGGACCTTCTCGAGCCCAACAGGAGTCGATGATTCCTGAAGGTCTATGGTGCCCAGCAGATACCTGGACCTGGGGTTCGAGCTCTGAGGGCACCGAGTGGATGGAGTTGGGTGATTTGTGACCCTACTTCCTGTATTAGAGCCACTGGCCCCCGGGCTCTCTGCCTGCAGGAAGCAGTGTGTACCCTGTTTTCTCATGGTGGCTGAGTCAGAGCCTCTGAGGTCCCTTCTCCACCACCTGGGGGGCCAGGATCCTTCCCTGGGTCCCAGGAGGCACAGGAAGGGGTTGGGGATGACCTAGGGGACCCCAGGGGAGTAAGTCAATATAAGAAGCTGAGAGTTCTCAACAGGTGTGAGAACTCCGACTTCTAGAACAGCACCTGTATACAGTGTCCAATAGATATTTGTCAGTGAGGGGATGAATGAAAGCCATGGGCCCAGGCTTGGCTTCCGGTGACTTTACTGTGTCATCACAGGTATGTCATTGCTCTTCTCTGAGCCTCGGTTTACCCAGCCGGAAGCGAGGGCTGGATTGATGGTCTCTAGGGGCCCTTCCAGCTTGACGTCGGGGACTCCGCAGAGCACTGTCCCTGTGCTCGGGGCGCTGCGAGTGGAGCAAGGCCGAGGCTGGCTCTGCAGATCCCCCCTCCATGGCTGTCTCAATAAGCTCAGGCACAGATGGTGTGTGTGTGTTGGGGAGGGGGGTCCCCCAGAGTGAAAGAGCTGGTGTCAGCAATCATGGGGGCAGCCCAGAACCCACTCTGACTGGTCACAAGGCCTGAGGCAGGCGAGTTCCATGCCCGATGGTGGCAAGACTCACCTGGGCCCAAGTGACTTCTCATCAGCATCAAATGACTTCCCCAACCAGTGTTATTCCCTCCATCACCCTCCTTACCCACCAATCCATACCTAGGCAATGCTGGGGTCTGGAACGAACTGCCCATGGCCGGGCCTGACTTACAGATGGGTTTTGCTGGACCCATAGCGTCCTCCTGGTAAGAAATGTTGAATGTGAACGTGTGGCCAGAGCAGGCTCTATACCCGTTGCCACCGTTGCGGCTCTTCCCTATTGTCTTGCATTTGGCAGCTCCACACATGTATGCTCTCTGCCTGACCCCTGGAGGCATCTGAGGTTGGAAACGGTCTAGCTCAACAGCCCCATTTGTAAATAGGGAGACTGAAGAGGGGGTACGTCTAGATCAATGGAATCCTAGATTTGTTGAGATTGGAAGAGCCCATGACATCACCAAGGTCTTATTTTCAGATCTCAGCTCCACTGTCTTTCCCCAGATAAGCCTAACCCCGTGGTCGGCAAACTGGCTTGCGAGCCACATGCGGCTCTTTGGCCCCTTCACTGTGGCTCTTCCACAGAATACCACGTGCGGGTGCACATGTACATGCAACTGAAACTTCGTGGCCCATGCGCAGAAGTTGGTATTTTGTGGAAGAGCCGATATTTTGTGGAAGAGCCACACTGAAGGGGCCAAAGAGCCGTATGTGACTCACGAGTCGCGGTTTGCCAGCTGTAGTTTGCCGACCACTGGCCTAATCCGACCAGCCCACTGGGTACAGCACCCCATCCAGTCTGCCCCTGCACCCCGCTTCCTTGTGTCTCACCCCTCCTGACATCCTAGTCTCTAGCCTGTGGTTTATTCTGTCTCTCTTGCTACCCTGTATGCCCCCTGAGGGCAGGATCATGGTTTGTCTAGTTCACTATTGTATCCCCAGGGCCAAGAATGATGCCTGGCACATGGAAGATGCTGGAAAGAAATGGTTGAAGAATGGGGAAAATGAGGCCTTAGACACAGCCGCACCGGCATCAGACACCCTCTTGCCGCGTTTCCCTGGGTTGTTCGGGGACATCCTGGAATCGAGCTGGAGCCCACGGTCACCCGGCAGTGGGCAGGTCTCCCCCCCTCCGCATGGGGATGCGTGTGCGGCTGACCCGGACAGGCCCTCCCAGCAGTTTGGTATGTTCTACTGGGAGGGGAGAGGGGCCAATGATGTCATTCCGCTCCACTGCCCCGGCGCCTCCCAAATTTGATTTATTAAGTCTGGAATTTCAAGTTCAAGTAGACCGCAGAATGGGTGTGCAGGAGGTGACTTTTGAGGGTTCTGAGCAGGGTAGTGGCCCTGGCAGTGCATGGTGTCTGGAAAGAAATGTTCTCAGAGACGAGGAAAGAGGGAGGGAGGCAGGGAGCAGATAGCAGAGGGTGGGCAGGGAGGCCAGGACAGGAAATGCCTCTGGTTTTCCCCCAAGAGTAAACATTTTTGCTCACCAAAGCTGTTCAAACAATACACAAAAGCATGAGGAAGAAGGTAGAACGACCCGATATTCTACCTCCCAAGGATCTAGACCAGGGGTGGGCAAACTTTTTGACTCGAGGGCCACAATGGGTTCTTAAACTGGACCGGAGGGCCGGAACAAAAGCATGGGTGGAGTGTTTGTGTGAACTAATATAAATTCAAAGTAAACATCATTACATAAAAAGGTACGGTCTTTTTTTTCAATAGTTTTATTCATTTCAAACGGGCCGGATCCAGCCCGCGGGCCGTAGTTTGCCCACGGCTGATCTAGTCAAATATTACGAGCCCATTTAGGGTCAGATGGCCTGGGCTCCGATCCCGGCTCCACACTTTCCAGCTTCGGATCTTGAAAGGGTCCCTTAGCATCTCTGTGCCCTGGCGTTTTCATTTGTAAAGTGATGCTCCTCTCAGCCTCTCTGCCCACTCTCTGCTATTTGCCCCCACTTTCCTCCGGCTCTGAGAACATTTCTTTAAAGATACAGTGACCTGGTCTGGCCCCTGCCCTGCCCACAACCTGCAGAAGGCACCTCCTGCAGACGCATGCTGTGCTCTGTTTGAACTTGGGATTCCAGGCTTAATTGGTACCTGCCATCTAGTCTTGTTGTGAGGATTAGATAAGTCAGGACGTGGAAGGGGCTTAGAGTACTGCCTGGCATGTGGTGAGGGCTCTGTATGTGTTTGCTCGCATTTTGTCATCATCATCATCATTGTTGTCATTGTTGCCATCATCGTCACCATTATCATCATCTTTGCAGATAGTTCTTTGAACACAATTCCATCTTTTCCATCCATCCATTCACCCATCCACCGACCCACCCATCCACCCATCCACCCATCCATCCACCCATCCATCCACCCATTCACCTACCCATCCACTCATCCAACCATCTATCCACTCACTCATCCAACCATCCACCCACCCACCAACCCACCCAAACACCCATCCATCCATTCACCTTCCACCCACCCATCCACCAACCCACCCAAACACCCATCCATCCATCCACCTTCCACCCACCCATCAACCACCCATCCACCCCTCCTTTTTTAATGGGAATATGCCATGTGCCCTTAGGGAACCTGCAATTTGCACTCTACATTACATTACATATGAACAAAATGGCTCTGGCCCTGGTTAATGGCCTCACATCCCTGAAACACGGTTATGCTGGGTTCTGTATCCGTGGGCAAACCTAGACTTTGTCTTGGTGCTTTGGGTGTAATAAACTTTGTAGACCAAGAATATTTGTTCTGAGATCTGCTGGTGGTAAGAAAGATCATTCCAGGAAGAGCTTTAAAATCGAAAGTAACCAAAAATATGTTGATGCTGTTTTTATGCTTCTTGTCTCCCTCATCAGGTTGGGGGTTCCTGGAGGCAGAGCCTGTGTCCCCCCTCTGGCCCCATCAGACTGGTTCCCAGACAGTGGCATCCTTCCTTTCTCCACCTCCCTCTTTGCTATCTTCCCAGACCTGTGAAGGGGGACTTCTGGTTGTGTGTCCTTTATTCCGTCTGTGCAATGACTAGCCGGAATGAGAGGACCCCGTGGCTGAGGAGGGGTGTCCTGTGGTTCCTGAGGGAACTTTCCTCCTCATCACCCCCAACCGCCCACATGGAGGGAGCATGCCCCCTGTCATTCATCATCTCCACTCAGAGGTCTACTAGACATTTCATGTCTAACAAGTCCAACATGGAACAGCCAACCCCCTGCCCAGCCTGCCCACCCGCAGCCTTCCCCGTCACTCCTTCTAGCTGCTGGGGCCCCAAACACCGCAGCTATCCTTGACTCCTTTCTTTCTCTCACGCCCACATCCAATCCATTGGCAAACCTTCTCAGTTCCAGCTTCAAGAATCCAACCACTTCTCACCACCTTCACTGTTGCCCCAGGACCAAGTCACCACCATCTTTTGCTTGGAAGAATTTCACTGCACCGTCTAACGTCAACCACACTTAAGAAGAGTTGAATTGCCCTGACCGGTTTGTCTCAGTGGATAGAGCGTCGGCTTGTGGACTGAAAGGTCCCAGGTTCGATTCCAGTCAAGGGCATGTACCTTGGTTGCGGGCACATCCCCAGTGGGCGGTGTGCAGGAGGCGGCTGATCGATGTTTCTCTCTCATGGATGTTTCTAGCTCTTTATCCCTCTCCCTTCCTCTCTTTTAAAAAAATCAATTATATATATATATGAAGAGTTGAATTTTAATGCATGGCCAAAGCAGGCTCTATTCCCTGTGTCTTTGTCTCTAGAATACAAATGTGTCAGAGCAGGGATTGTGGTTTGTGTTGTCCATCCCCAGCACCTGTGTCCCCATCACCCTAACGAGTGCCTAACACAGAGCTGGCGCTCAATGAATGACTGTCAAATGAATGAATGAAGTTCCATTAACACCCAAGCACAGGCGGGAGCCAGCACTTGCCAATGCTAAAAGGAGGGGGTTTTCAGAAACGAATCACCCCTCCCCAGGCCATTGCTCTGAGCGCCTTCTCTGAGCGCCAGCTCTGGAGTCGAGGTAGGAGGGCAGACCCCCACATCGTGGCGGGTGGGAGTGCTGGAGTCAGAGGGACCCGGGGTGCAAACTCTGGCTCTGCCGCCTCCTATCTGTGTGACCTGCAGCTGTGATTCTCCTCCTGTGAAATGGAGATACTACTGATCATTACTGGCATTTCTTTAAAAAATGTATTTTATTGATTTCAGAGAGAAAGGGAGAGGGAGAGAGAGCGAGCTAGAAACATTAATAATGAGAATCATTGATCGGCTGCCTCCTGCACGCCCCCTCCTGGGGATTGAGCCCGCAACCTGGGCATGTGCCCTTGACTGGAATCGAACCTGGGACCCTTCAGTCTGTAGGCCGATGCTCTATCCACTGAGCCATACCAGGTCAGGCTGGCATTTCTTTTACTGAAAGCTAGGTGCCCGGCACTGCACTGAACCTCTCACACATAGCTCATGCGATCCCCCTACCACAACGTTCATCTTCCATGGGGAGCTAGAGCTGCAGAGAAGTGAACTACCCAAGGTCGAGGCTGTAGAGGCAGGGCGGATTGGAGCCCAGGCATTCCGACCTCACAGGGCTTTATGTGCTGCCTGACCTCCTGTCATATGAGATAAGATCTGTAAACTGCCTAGCCAGCGCCTGGTGCACGTAGTCAGCCCTCCGAGGACGCTGACATCTTTACGTGTGGGGTGAGGCACCAAGAGTCTGAGGAGAGAGGCAGAGCCAGGGGAGGGGCACGGGGGCTGATGGAGTTCAGTAGTCCTGTGTTGGCAGCTGAGCTCCCCACCAGGGGCAGGAGCTGAAACTCCCTTCTCCATCTTCCAGAGAAGCCTTGGGGCCTCCTCCCCAGGCCTCCGGATTGACAGGCCTGAGTGAGGACTGGGCGTGGGGCCAGGAGGTGGGGACTTAGCTCAGGCAGGCTAATCAGGTCTCAGGGTGAAATTAAAAGGGAGGAGGAAAGCACGAGTTCCATCAGAACTCACACTTCGTCCCGGCTCCCAGGTGCCGGGAGCGGACCTGGGACACCGGGCGCGAGGAGGTCGGGAGCCAGGGCGCAGGATGGCCTCGCAGAGGGCTGTGCGGCTGAGCCTGAAGAAGCCCACCCATGCGGTGTGTGTGGTGGGAGTCGAGACCTTTGTGGATGTTCGCAGGTGAGACCCGAGAGGCGCTCGCCTGGCCGCAGAGTGAAGGAGTAGAGGCAATGGGTGGGTGTGGGATGGCCGCCTGGTACCTGTTTTGACAGCGAGCAGGTGGGGTTGGCTGTAGAGCTTGGAGGGAGGTTCTAGGGTATCGGGTCCACCTTGGGGCCCTGGCTCGTGGGCACCAGGGTCAGGACCCTGGTCTCGAGCCCCCCCGCTGGACAAGGGTTCCAGCTCTGAGCCCTGGGGTCAGGCTCTGGGGTCTGGGCTCTGCGTCCTGGGGTCTGTGTGGAGCTTGCGTGGAGCATCAGAATGAATTGCTCAAACCCGAGAACAGGGCTGGGCGTCCCTCAGTTTCTTGCCAACAATTCGCCTCTCTGAGGTGGAGGGGTGAGGTGTGTGGCAACTTGATCCTTGGAGGCTAACCAGGGTGATAGGCATCAGGAGGGACTAATTAGGGGCTGATTTAATGAGTTAAAAAAAAGAAAAGAACTTGCAACAAGATCAGGGCTTGTGTTGGCCACGATGGGGGTGGGGGTGGGGGTCATGGTGGCAGCGATGACATCTGAGGGGCAGCAGCAGCAGCAGCTTCTGTCGGTCCAAATCCTCCCTGTCCTGGCTCTGCCCCGGTGGGGGGCAGGCCCAGGGACCTGGCGCAGCTTCAGGTTCCCCACCTGACCATTGATGGAGTTAGACTGAGGTCCCCTGGGGGCCTTCCCAGCTCTGACAGATGAGCTATGGATTCCATCTTGCTGTACAGATAGGGCTGGGGCCCCAGCAGATGGGGGCTCAAGCAGGAACCCTCTCCTAGAGGGGGCTGGGGCTGTTCCACGGTGGGGGTCTGAGCTCCTACGGCCCTCCTGGGCCTCAGTACCTGCGCTCTCCCAGTCTGGTGAATGAATGCCGGCCCGGCTTCCCACCCGGCCTCAGGTGAGCCTCTGACCCAGAAGCCCTCCGGGCCGACCCTCTCTCTGCAGCGGACTGAGGCCCCGTTGAAGGGCCGGGAAGGAGAGCCAGGAACCCTGGAGGTCAGACCGTGCCTCTAAGTCATAAGGGGGGCCCTGCGGTGGCTTTGGTTCTCGCAGAACTAAGTGGCCAGCAGAGACCCCATTATCTCTTGCTCCTTTCCACAATTTCCCCTCTTTCTGCTTTTGAGAGTATGTTTATTAAAGCTGGAGACAGTGAGACAAGGAAGGGCCTCGGGTAGAAGAAGCCACAGGAGAGAGACGAGGCAGAGCTGCTTTGGCTCTAGAAATGTTTGCGAAAGAAGGGAGCGAAGGCGGGGCTGCTGTCAGCTCCCTGGAGAGCCAGAGAAAAAGGGCCTTGGGGACAGGCTCGGGGGACCCGCTGTCGCTGCCCATTGCTCCCCTGGTTGCAAGTCTCCTGGGGTCCCTTAGAGTTCAGGAGGTGCACTCCTGCGGGAGAGCCAGAGGAGGGAGGCAAAAGCACAGGCATGCTCCTGGGAAGGCCAGTGGGTGAATTTTTTTCAGTCACAGTTGACATGCAATATTATGTTAGTTTCAGGCGTACAGCATAGTGGTTAGACACTTATAGAACTCAGAAAGTGACCAGCCGGATCAGTCTAGTGCCCATCTGACACCATCCATAGTTATTCCGTACGATATCATGACTGTATTCCCTATGCCACACTTTATTCCCTCGTCTCCTGCCCTTTTAACACAGGGGTTGCCAGACTGAGCAAATGAACACAGAGGACTCCCGGTGAGAGTTGCGTTTCACATAAACAGCGACTTTTTTTTTCGGTCCCTTAGAGTTCAGGAGGTGCACTCCTGCGGTGGAGCCAGAGTGGGGAGGCAAAAGCACAGGCATGCTCCTGGGAAAGCCAGTGGGTCAATTTTTTTCAATCACAGTTGACATGCAATATTATGTTAGTTTCAGGCGTACAGCATAGTGGTTAGACACTTATAGAACTCAGAAAGTGACCAGCCGGATCAGTCTAGTGCCCATCTGACACCATCCACAGTTATTCCGTACGATATTATCACTGTTTTCCCTATGTCGCACTTTATTCCCCCGTCTCCTGCCCTTTTAACACAGGGTTGCCAGACTGAGCAAATGAACACAGAGGACTCCCGGTGAGGGTTGCGTTTCAGATAAACAGCGACTTTTTTTTTTTTTTTAAAGTACAGTAGTTCCCCCTTATCTGCGGTTTCGCTTTCCACGGATCAGTTAACTGTGGTCTACCATGGTCTGAAAATATTAAATGGAGAATTCTAGAAGTGAAGAATTCGGATGTTTTGAGTTGGGCACCATTCTGAGAAGTGTGAGGAAATACCACGCTGCTCCGTTTCATTCGGCCTGGGATGTGAATCATCCCTTTGTCCGGCACCCACCTCCTTGCATCTCATCACGTAGGCCTCGTGTCCTCTCACGTCGTCACAAGAAACGGAAGGATGAGCACAGTGCAGTCAGGTATTTTGAGAGAGGAGAGGCCACCACCGTCAGATAACTTTTATTTCAGGATCTGGTTGTAATTGTCCTATTTTATTATTAGTTATTGCTGTTAGTCTCTTATTGTGCTTAGTTTATAAATTAAACTTGACCGTAGGTATGTATGTGTAGGACAAAACGTGGTATGTAGAAATACCACCCACACGGTTTCGGGGGTCCACTGTGGGTCTTGGAACGTCTCCCCTGTGGATAAAGGGCGTCTAATATATTGCATGGGACGTGCTTGTATTTTTAAAAATCTGCTGTTCAGCTGAAATTCTAACTGAGCGAGGCACCCCATACTTTCTCTGGCAATGCTGTTTTAACACCAAGGGGAGAGAAGAGGTCCCTAGTGGGCCCCATCTTCCCAACTCCAGACCCCTGTTCTCATCCCATGGGGTGGCTGTTTCTGGAAGTAATTTCAGAACCTCAGGCCCTTGGTGCGCATTTGACTGGGAGCCAGATCACCTCTGACGGAGTTAGAAGCAGGGACCTCTGGGAGCCTTCCCCTCGGCCACTGACCTGCTGTCTGGCCTGGGCCACGTCACTGGCCCTCTCTGAGCCCCAACAAGATGAGTTGTGTCCCCTCTTCAGTTCAGCGTGGAGGTGAAGTGCCCAGACTCTGGAGCTGGACAGACTTGGCTTCTCGTCTGCACTGCCCCCATTCATGGCAGAGTGCCCCCGGGCAAGCTGCTGCCCGTCTCTGAGCCTCAGTGTCCTCATCTGACAAATGGAGAAACAATGGCACGCACCGTCAGGGGTTAGGAGGAGGGTATATGAGACGTGCATGTGCAGGGCCCTGTGCATGGAGAGTGCTCACAGCAGTGACGGCTCTGTGGGGTCCTCCAGTTCCTGCGCTTTCCATCATGCCTCTGAGCGTGGGGGACAGAGGACAGGTCGGGGTGCGTGTGGTGGGAACAGAGGATGGTGCTGACTGTGTCTCCTTTGGGACCACCAAGCACCTTAGCAGCTCCAGTGCGGGCCCTGCCCCGCTGAAGGCACAAGGATGTTGCCTGGGATGCTCATAGCTGCCGGGCTCTGCGTGTCTCTGGGAGGGGGTGCTGCTTCGGGGTCCTGAGTGAGCACTCTGAGAGGCCTCCACTCAAGAGCCTGCCAGGAACCTTCTCCCCGGTGCTGGTGGTGACAAGGTCATAGCCACTGCGTCTCTGCACTAGAAACAGGAGCTTCTTTGGCAGCAGATTGGTTTGAAAGTGACCTAGAGAACTCCCTGCAGGCGAGGCCTGCCGTGGGTGCAGAGAGGGACGCGGCATTGTCACGGGAGGTGAACAAAGGGGGATGGTGTTGTCAACCTGGGAGTTTGAAGAGGAGCCTGAGGCTCACTGCAAGGCCTTGGCCGGCCAGGAGGAAGGGGCTGCACCTGATCATGAACTTGGGGCTCCCCCACCCCTTGCTAGGTGCCTGGCCATGCGAGGGGCAGCTGAGGCCATGCAAGGGGTTTCTATCCAGCCTTGCTGCTGGAAGGGTGAGCCTCCCAGAAGAGGAGGTGTGCCGTCACCTCAGCTGCCCGGAGTTTGAACCCTCCAGGAGAGCCTGTGGAGACGGGCGTGTGGGGGTGACATCACGGGAAGTGATTCATTCCCCCAGGTGCGGAGTGGACTGGGGTTTGGAGAGATATTTGTGTTTGGGTAATTGTGTGCCCCAGGGTGTCTCAGCCCAAGAAAACCTTAGAGCTCCCCTGTAGCATGTGCTGCAGATCCTACCCCTCCCTGCAGCAGGCTAGCTCATCACCCTGACCCCTCACACCAGTGGGCTAGCTCACCACCCTGACCCCTCACCCCAGAGGGCTAGCTCACCACCCTGACCCCTCACCCCAGAGGGCCAGCTCATCACCCTGACCCCTCACCCCAGAGGGCCAGCTCACCACCCTGACCCCTCACCCCAGTGGGCCAGCTCACCACCCTGACCCCTCACCCCAGTGGGCTAGCTCACCACCCTGACCCAGGTTGGCCAGACTTCCCTGGCTGTCTACATCTTTGCTGGGAGGTGGCCCTCAGAGGACGCATACAAAAAAAGAGGGGCTGGGCAACAGGGGGAATCCATCAGTGGCCCAGCCTGGCCCTCCTCGTCTGCCCAGGAGGCCATGATGACAGCTGGCTACATTTACTTCGGGATGGAGGAGGAGAAGGCTGGCTGGGTAGGGGGCAGGGATAGTCTCCTGGAATTTCTCCCAAGCCTCCTGCAGCGCTGCAAAAGCATCAACACAAAAGAGACCCTTGGGATCCGAGACTGGAATTCAAGGAGCGCAGGGGGAGGTCGCTATGGGACCTCTCAGACGAGCCAGAGAGAGGACCCAGGAGGCTGCCTTCTCTGGGGCTCCCTTATCTCAAAACAAGAAAATGCCGGAACAGAGTTCTAAACTTGTGGCCAATATGTTCGTAATTCCTTCATTATTCAGGAATAAATGAAGGCTTTTAACTTGCACAGAAGTGCAATGAGGCATAAGTGCTTCACGTGGTAATTTAATTACGGGATTGATGCCGGCGTGAATCACAGTGACTGGCAGGTTCCGACAGCCGGGCTGGGACCCGGGTTTCACGCCT